TTTCACTTCCTGTTCCGAACCGAGGTCAACCAATAACAAACAGATGGGAGGAATCACAGACAGACAGACAGACAGACAGACAGAGACATACTGGGGGGCGGGCAAACATCAACAGGCGGGAAAGCTGAGAGAACAAAGACTTCTCAGTTACCAAACTTCAAACGCAAACTTGATTGATGAAAACAAGAAGATTTCTCTGTTTCCGGTTTCATGTGTAATAAAAGGCCGAGCAGTGCCTGAGCTATAAATTAAAAACATTTTGGCGTCTTTATGCACGATCCAATCAGACGTCACGCTTGGAACATGTTGAGGAAGCCTCTGAGCTACCGTCACCTTGAATTTTACCTCAGTATCTGTTAAAGCGTTTTTGTGCTGGCTTATAACTAGTTGTGGTGGCCATCTTTATTTGATCAACTGGTTCATGAGATATTTAGCTAACAATACAGACAAACGCACACTTGTGCCACAAATCAGTTCAACAAAACAAAACGGTTCACTTGTATTCCAAAGTTCTGCAAACAGTTTCTCATATTTTATAAGTTGAGAAAAATAAAAAAAATACTTCAGAAGGCGACGGAGAGACGACAGAGGAGGCTGGTGGCTGAATTTGACTAAACAAACCTGCAAATGATTTATCTGGTTCACCGAAACCAGACGGATAACTGCTCCTATGATCTACCTGCTATAAAACTCATTCTGGCGCAGGGTCAAAGGTCAGGTCTGGGGCCAGCTCTGACAACCCTGAGCTACAAGCACCAGTACATCATTAACAAAGGCTTGGCTGACAGCAGCAAATACAACTATTAGTTGTTTATTATAAGGGAACATTAGTTTATCAGATTTAAATCAGCCACCGCTGAAAGGCAAAACGTGGTCGATGTAGTGACAACAATTAAAAAGACAGATATTCATCACCTCCAGATGCTCTTATTTCACGCCTCAACCAGTTTTTATTATTCCTAAACACTTTTTAAAGATGTTTAAACGATGGATCTGTGTTGCAATATTTCTTGGATTTATTTGAAAGACAAAGGGGATGAAAAACTCAATGTAAGTGTCCACATTTGTGTGAAATTGCAGATT